TTAATGGTGCGTCTAGCATAGCAAAGCTAAAAATAAATACAATTGCAGACCTACCGAACTATGCAGGATTTGATGAGAATAATACGATTTTGTATGTATCTAATATATAATTTCCTAATCGTACGTATGCTCTGCCGAAAAAACTTGAGTATATGCGAATATTTAGCATGCGCTATTTGAATGTCTAACCACTGATCTGCGTTTAGCCGCCTATCTGTAATAGTTTCTAAAACATTTCAATGAAAATTAATTCACTTCTCAATTAACCCAAGATAGTGCGAGTTCGTCACCCATTGTCCTTATCAGTTTTCAGAGCGACAAAGAATAATTGAAATTGATGCCCCAGTGCATGTGTTAATTTACACTTGCCTATATAGTGACATGCATAACCAACTGCTCCATTGGGCGTTTAATTTTCCATTCATAGAGCAAAGACAGTGAGTATGCAAATGCAAATTGAGGCGTTTAAAAACGCTTGCAAATCGCGCACCGCAATTAAACGGCGCCCCAAACGCGTGCCCCATGGAACACGCCTCCCTGCCGATTTTATGGCTGTATTTAATGCGAGCCATGTTTGACGGGGTATCAGCCCATATGAGCATAGTTTGCGGCTAATGACTCTGCGTGGGGATCGGGAATCGAAGGAATCGGTGGGGAATGTGATGCAAATGGGAAATGTCGGAGACGCCTTGTCCACTCATTAAGTGGTGTTGGTCAACCAGTTCCGAGGACAGCATGATGGATTGCCGGCCAGCTGAATAACTCAACCACCACTCGCTCATTCAGCTGGGCATTCATTCATCCATTCGGCCGGCCCGTTGACGTATCGTATCGAGCGGACCAAGACCGAAACTAAAACCGAATCCCAAACCTGATTGCGGTAAAATGCCAAATTGGACCGTTCTCGTTGCCCTGGTCGATGCCTCGGGGCCAGCGTTAGTCATCGTCATCATCATCATGAGCCTTAGCCGCCTTATGCGGCCTTACGCCGCTCCCGCTGAATTGACCGAATTAAAGCTCTGGGATTGCATGGAACTGGCAAACCAGTTTCCTGGCCGCCTGGCCGCCCCTCTCCAGCTCAGACTGCAACTCTAAAAAGACCAGGAGAAATTGCCACAGTCAAAACAATTAGACAGACGGACCAGACTCGCGTCTTCAACTTGTTGCCGCCGCGGATAAAAGTTTGTGTCTTGTGCTGGGAAAAGTAAAAAGTGTCTAATTAAATGCTTGGCCGGACTGGCTTCGGAAAATACTACGGGCTTTATACAAAGGAACGTGTACGAAACCGAAATACCCTTAAAACAAACTAATAAATGTATATGTTTTGAGCTTGTAGTGTCATATATAATATTAAGTTTACCACATTCCAGCATAATTAATTCGCAAGTATATTTTTTTCCTATATAAACAAAAATTATCTTATCTGTTGATATCATATAGTAAACAAATATTTTTCTTTACTTCTCATTTCCAGTTATACAAAAAACATATTTGTCAGAAAAACTCATTGGTTTTTTCGTTTTTATAGTGACTTCAACGATTCATTTGAAAATTCCCACAATTAGTCAGCAATCGGTAAATATTAAGGGTGGTTTCGGCATACGCATTACATTTATTTTCCCCCAAACGATTAGTGAATGGACCCGGTCGGAAAGGCAAGGCACAACAGGCAAACAACAACTAACATAAATTGCTTACGCGATGCGGCCCATTGACTGCCGGCAACAAGGGGTTAAGGGGTCACAGTTGCCGCCCGTCAATCATTCGGGCAAACGAACAGCGGCACTTGAATGGTCCAGCGAAAAAGGTTTCCCATTTCCACGGCTGCCAGTTTCCAGTCGCGGTTAGCCTTCTCTTACAGCTCCAGCGGAAACTTCAGAATGCACCTGTCGCAAGGCGGCGGTAGGTGTGATAAGCATCTCATCACAACAAAAGATTAACACGCCGGGAAGGACAAAGAACAGAGATACGCACAAGGGACTCAAACGAGCTGTCTGCACACATATGCACTGCTACAAATATCTGGCATGGAATGTACAAAATAAGTGGAATGGGACAATATATACACTGTATACTATTAATACAGGTAAAATCAATTCTAAAAATTTGAGTTGGTATTGGATTAGATGTTTATATTACACATACACGTATAATTTTACATTCCTACAGATTGCATACGTTTTCTCACAGTGTTTGCTTAGATGAACAGGAAACCGACGGGGAGGAGACCTTGAAGACCCTAGGCAGGTTGTATTGCAAGCAGTTAGTTAGGTAGTAGCCACAAGGCAACACCTTTGGGTTGACAGATCGAGTTACCGAAGAGGCACTCTACTCCTAACTGGGTCACATTACCAATGTCAAACGATCGAAATCGAGTCTTACTTTCACCAAGGAATATAGAGGACGTTCTGATTCGGTACAACACAGACCGAACCAGATGAGGATCATAAACAGCAAAACCACATGATTTGTTTGGATCAGCCAAAATCCACGAAAAACTAATTTCAAGTTATGATCAATAAAAAACCTTTCAGGTTTCAATCGAGAACAATGACTGATATGGGGAAATCGCTGATGCTGCTACTTGAATTGTCAACTTTAATGATCTCAGCAGTTTCATGGGCATGCAAAACATCCATAAAGTGCAGCTCTTACCTCAGGCTATATATATATCTGTTTTAACTTCAAGTAGGTGTAGTTTTAACACACTTTGCGTTTGTTATCAAGAGTGTTGTCTGCTTATTATTTGGTCACTTCAGTTTCTATTTATAGTTCGCGACGTGCCAAGCGGCTTCGAATTAGGTGATAAACACGGTAATTGGTTGTACAATCGCGATCGATTAATAGCTTCCTCAGTTTCACTGACTAGCCGCAGATAGGTACGTCCAATCCGGTCAAGTTCAATAAAACTGGAGCCGAAGAGGGCGGAGGTAAGCTGGATGCACCGCCACAAAACACCATTAATAAGCGAAGGGCCACCGATCTGGAGAAGCACTCTACTGGATCCCACGACCGACGGATATCTTCTCCTTCAGCCGTCCAAAGACTGCCCACGAACTACATATGAATGTATGTGCAAGCGTTTGTCATGCACTTTCCGAATTATTTGTTATTTATTAATGACGTGGGTATACGATATGATATGCAAGGCGTTCTTTTCAAAGGTTTTCTGTAGGTTTCCCGAACTTTTGGCGCACTTTTCCTCGTGTGAGATGGTTGATTTTACAAATTCGCTACAACTTTGATTTTACAGAGCGAGCTAGCTTAATACTCATGTAAATATAAACTTGAATACGTACGCGACCAGTTCGTTCCGTTCAAAATTGACAAAAAACAACATACACTGAGCAGTTCCCACGCGCGTCCGAACAGCTGGCGAATATTTTTTGAAAAACCCAACAACAAAATGCGCGTGTTGCTTATATAGTTTGTTTGTCAGTGTGGCCGTGCTGCAAAATGACCAAATACCACTTGAGTACAGAGCTATATGGGATTTGCGTGAAAGCAAAGTGAAGCAGCATTGCGGGTTAACAGTCCTCTGTAAAAATCCATTGGCGGGTAGTTTAAACGCAAAAGTTTTGAAAACGAGACTATATGATCAAAAAAGTGTTGTATACAACAGCAGTGACGAACTTCCCTCAAATAATTCATCAAACTATATTTGTATTTTCCCCAAGAAAATGAATTAATTATACGTATAATTATATACGTTACTCTTAGAGTAACTTAGAAAAAAAAATTTATTTTTTTTTGCTTGCCATTTTTTATAAATATACCAAACCTTCTCGTCCGCCCTCCCACTAGCCGAGCAACGGCTATCTGATACCCGAGGAACTCGAAACTATTTAAAAAGCCATTAAAAAGCCACCCATTTAAAAAACTTCATTTTTTTCGTAATTTTTATGAATATTTATTGTAAAGGTGGATTTCATTTCAAAAATATGTTAGAACTATGGCTTATAGGTTGATCGATAAGCAAAGAGAACTGCTCTGTTCTAAAATTTCTGTGTTGGTATTACATTTTATTAGGTTAACGAAAGTTCATGCAAATGATGCGGGTGTGGGCTATAGTCGGGGCTCATGAATTTACGCCCTGCTAGTCAAAAAATGGAAAACAAAAACGCACACGCGACAATCGCCACATATTGGATGCAACAATATCAATGGAGACGAACGAGTTGGGTAAAGAATATATAAATTAAAAACTAAATAACGCAAATTAAAAGTAAGAATTTATGTGGCAATCTAACATACCACTGAGAGGCGAGACAGAGGGAGCCCGGAACGGATCGGATCGGACCAGACCAAGAACCACTATCCACTATCCAGCATTGGGCGCAAGTCAACGTAGGATGATGCACAGCAAATCCGTGAAATGATAACGACAGGGCCGCGAAGGCCTCGAAATACGCGGTTCCCTGGGTGAGCAAGTGTCTGAAGTGCGATCCAAGGAAGGCGACAACAAAGCGTAAGAGCCTGTCCAAGCGAATCCTAATCCCGACCGTTAGGCAGATGCCAAAGAATGGGGCGAGGCTCGAAGAGATGCGGCCGAGTCCGAAACTGTATGCTCTAGTCCTGTCCAAGGGCAACGCAAGTGTTCCTCACTGTTACCGATGCCATTGACATTCTCCTCCAAACATCCGTTAACCTGAACACGACCAAAGTTCACACAGAAAATCCTTCAACAATGCGAAATTCCTGTCTCCTCCTCCGAGGTGCGAGTTAGCCATGGGACACTGCATCCCACGTTGTCCTAGCGAAGGGCTCAGAACAATCCTAAATCCAAATCCAATCCTGATTACAATCAAATAAATACTTTCATATTTATAAGATCTATAGACAGGTCCTGCCTCCTCTAAATTCAATCCAAATTTATCCAATCCACGCCAAAATCAACATCAAAATATCCTTCTCCTCCTCATCCATTAATCCTCATCCTCCACATCCTCATCACTCTCCAAACATAAACGCGCAAAATGGGGAAGAGAAGAAAATAAAAATTAAAGTATTAATAGTTTGTTTATCAATGTGGTTGACATTGCGTTGTGTTCGGATTTCTGTTTCTTTTCTTTCTCTCATTACAAACATATTTATTCTGTATCGATGTTTCTTGTTTCGTTAAGGTAAATTCTAATAAATTAGATTGGTAAACGTGCAGCCAAAATTAGATTTATAATATTATTTGTAGTATGCAGACTGAGCAAAGGCTCAAAATAAAACAAAAGTAAATCAAGGAATGCCGAGTGGTTGTGGCCTAAGAAAATTCCTTGGTTTACACTTGCCATTTTTGAACTGTTTTTGTCAAATTTTGCCCGGTGGATTATAATGTAAGAAAACATCTCTGTTTCTTAGAACGTGTGATACAGTTGGAAAAGCAAGTGGTTTTTGAAATATGTTGGCTTCGATGAGAGTTCGGAACTTGACTGAACAAACTTGTTGGTTCGCAATGGCTTGGATAGTCAATTTACAAAGTAGAATATTTGAGGGGTCTTGAACAAATATTGAATGCGTTTTCTTAATTTAGCTTGCTTTTCCTGCTCGTAGAAATATTATAGATTAATGGATAATGCTTGGTTGTGTTTAATAGTTAGAGCGTGAGCGAGACCTGGAATAAGATTGACGTCGCACTGGGGAATATGTGGGAGTGCCACGACGGCGCGGTCTCGACGAGAATGAGCGCGAACGGGATCTGTCGAGGGATTAAAATAATAAATATTAAACAATAAACTGTGGTAATATATGATTTACCTGTCGCGGTAGTCACGGCTTCCACCGCCTCCGCTGCCACCACCACCTCCACCGCTGCCGCCGCCGCCACCGCCGCGGTCGTTATCTCCGCTATCCTCGCGTACGCGAATGTAGGCAACCTCGCCCTAAAGACAATACGAGTATTAATATCATTGGAAAAATATACTTAATTTGATGAACTATTTTTAAAATGTAAACAGAAATGCCAACGAACGAAATCTATAAAAGGCAAACTACATTTTTATCAATTGAACACATTTAAGGGCGTACGTGTTTGCAACCAAATGAATATAATGAATGTCATTCTTAAAACCGCATTAAATTATCCAGCTATTGAATAATGTATGTTGACAAAATAAATGCAAAGGTAAACTCACTACCTTGAAACCCGAATATATTTGAATTTTACAAATTTAGAGCTCGCCAATTTACATACCTCATGCGAACGGAAGCGAGAGTCGTCCAACTTCTTAATTGCATACTTCATGTCCTCGTGGCGAAGGAACTCCACGACGCCAGATCCGTCCTTGTATGTGTCCGCAAAGCAGACATCGCCGGCCTCGCGCATGTGATCCTTGAGATCTTGCCACGATCCGGAGGCGGGCAGTCCAGTAACCATGACGCGGTACTGCGAGCGCTTGGCTGGCGGCCCGCGTCCGCCCATGCGTCCGCCTCCGTCGCGGCTGCGGTCGTTGCGGTTGCCGCCGCGGTAGCTTCCAGGGCCACCGCCCCGCGGGAACTCCACGCGCAGACGGTATCCATCGTAGTCGTAGCCATCGCGCGCCTTTACCGCATCGTCAGCATCTCTGTGTTGGGCAAAGGGGCAGCCGGAGTAATTGGTGGTCAAGGAAAAAAGGGAAGCAGTTATCGCTAATAAGTTGGGTGTCTCCGGCGGGCAGCTGGGCCAGCTGTGTGTATTCGTATTACTCACCGCGCATCTTCGAACTCAACAAAAGCAAATGGCGGCCCACGCCGATTTTTCAGATCGACAAAAGTAACTTTGCCGAACTTGTGGAACAGGTCCTGGATATCCTTGGTGCGGATATCCGGCGGCAAGTTGCCAACGTAAATGCGGCACTCGTTGCGTGATCCCATTTTCTCCAGTTTAAATCAGACGCTTTTCTCGACTTGCTCGCTGAAATTCTATTTCGATTTTCGCAGAACACTTTCTGTCACGCTCACAAAGACAAATGGCCGACGGAGTATGACCGTTGGTTCAAGTTGGGGAATATCTTGGGTGTTCAGCAGTGATGCCAATTTAGCCTTTTTCCGGACAGATCTGTCCTGTTTTTTACTGCTTCATCTGGAAAAAATGTCAAACAGCCCTAACCCGGAAATCTGTCCTTTTTTAAGTTTTTATATCTGGAAATCTGCCCTTTTTAGGCAATGGTAAAAGTTTTAAAATTTAATTGTTATAATTCCACATTTTTTTGTTTGCAAACTATGTGGCATCTCTTTATGCAATACGTATGAATATCGAACTTACTTTGTCAAATTGCCTAAAGAAGAATACAAACAAAATATAAAACAATATATAAAAGCAAACATTTTGAGATTTCTGCCAAAATGCCTAAAGAAGGGTATAAACAAAAATTGTTCATCAATTTTTGAAATTTTCAGCCTATTTTTTCCGTTTTTTTCTCAATATGTCATTTTTTCAGAAAAATATTGGCATCCCTGATACAAAGTGCTACTAAATTAATCTCGAGCTCTAAGTAATTAAATAATAATATATTATTTTGTCATAATTATATTAGTGAGTAAAAAAAGTGAGGTCTTTAAAGTGAGTAGTAAAAATTGTCTTAAAGAAAGCCTGCAGAATGTTTAACTTACTGTTGGAACACATAGTTATTGCCGCTTTTAATATTTGTTTAGGAAACATATTTTCTTGTAGCCCTATAATTCCCAACTGGTTCTAGCGAAGACTGTAAGACATGTCTTCTAATTTACCCGTCGAGCAGTGAGTGTAGTGTATGTGTAGTGTATGCACCGGAGTATGTATGTATGCACGTATGTAAGTATGAAGGATGTATGTCTGCACGTATGTATGTATGTATGTATGTATGTATGTATGTATGTATGTATGTATGTATGTATGTATGTATGTATGTATGTATGTATGTATGTATGTATGTATGTATGTATGTATGTATGTATGTATGTATGTATGTATGTATGTATGTATGTATGTGTTACTTGTACAAAGTAGTAAAAATTGTCTTAATTAAAGTCTGAAGAATGTTTAACTTACTGTCGGAACACATAGTTATTGCCGCTTTTAATATTTGTTTAGGAAACATATTTTCTTGTAGCCCTTTAATTCCCAACTAGTTCTAGTGAAGACTGTAAGGCATGTCTTCTAATTTAGAGTCACAAAATATTTCAAGTAATCTCTCTTACTGGTCGAGCAGTGAGTGTAGTGTATGTATAAAAAATATTTGAAATACAATATAAAATTCTTGTTAAGAAATTGATTACCCTACACTGAAAGGGATATATATTTTTATATTTATTCGTATACAAAGCAGAAATGCCAATTTAGCCTTTTTCCGGACAGATCTGTCCTGTTTTTTACTGCTTCATCCGGAAAAAATGTCAAACAGCCCTAACCCGTAAATCTGTTCTTTTTTAAGTTTTTCTATCCGGAAATCTTTAATTAGTATAATATTTTTTATAATTATAATTAGTATAATTCCACATTTTTTTTGTTTGCAAACTATGTGGCATCTCTTTTAAGCAAAATGTTATCGATATTGTGTGTAATCGTATGAATATCGAACTCACTTTGTCAAATTGCCTGAAGAAGAATACAAACAAAATAATAACCAAAAGCAAAAATTTTGAGATTTCTGGCAAAATGCCTAAAGAATGTCTATCTAAGGGAATCTGTCCTGTTTTTTCATCCTTTTTTTGAAATTTTCAGCCTATTTTTTCCTTTTGTTTTCTCAATCTGTCCTTGTTTTTTTTTTTTAGATACAACACTAGGTTGAATTTTCGTTGCTTATATCGATACCCAGTCAGTAGTTGATTTGGTAACGTGGAAATCAGAATTAAGATTCAAAGGAAATAAGTTTTGCGTTCAGGATTCAAATAGATTTATTTTACCGTAACGTATTGCCCCCTTTTTTATGTTATAACTTGTCGATAGTTATCGCCAATCACCCCGAGCTGCCATGTATTTGCACTGTCATCACTAAGCGTCGTTCAGACGAAGAAAAGACAACAAATATTTGCATGTGCAATACAGCAAACATAAATAGTATTTCGAAAAGCACTGAGCCACCGGGAAAATGGCTGCGGCCGGAAGCAACGTTCGCTGTATTAACTACTACGAGCTGTGCCGCATCTGCACGGACAGCACCGATCACAAGACGAACATCTACTCACCCGAGGGACGCGCCAAGAATCTAAGCCAGAAGATCCTCGAGTGTCTCTCACTGCAGGTTGTGCTCGTATCCTAATTTCACATTACTTTTGGCTAACAGACCCATACTTCTTGCAGATCGATGAAAAGGATCGCTTGCCCAAGGTGGTGTGCGCCCAGTGCGTGCAGTTGGTGGAGCAAATCCACGGACTTCGCGCCACTTGCCGTAATTCACAGACCATGCTGAACAACTGTCTCAATATCCGCCCGGCGCCGAGCAGCGACAAGCTATACATTCGGGATGCGGTCGATGAAACAGGAAAGAGCCTTAGTGTGGCGCAGGCAACTCCAGCAGTTGCTAATGGAGCTCAGCAGTCTGGAAATCTCCTGAACAGCATCATCCAGGCAGTAAACCTGCAGCCCCAGCAGCAGTACACGATTACTATGGATAACGGAGTACAGCAGCAGCAGCACCAAGCTATGCAGGAAGTTCAAATAAAAAGCGAGAGACAGACGTGAGTGGCAAATCGCTTTCATAGATATTATCTAAATAACTTTATATCCACTTAGTGCTTTGGAAGAGTTTATACGCCTCAAGCCGGACATCAAGATAACGCCGCTGGGAAAAAAGGAGCCCATTTCGCCTGCCAAGCCCCAGCAGCAACATTCTCTGCAGTCGGTAACACCTACAGTAAACCCTACTCAGTTGCAGTTACAACCCCAGCTAGGCGAGCAACTGCAGCCTCTGTGGCAGCAGCTTCAACAAATTCAACTTCAGCAGCAGCTACAGCAACTGACCAACCAGCTGCAGGCTACCACTCAGTACTCAGTCGCCCAGGATGATGCCGCCAGCCCTGGCGACAGCAAAAAACCAAAGTTGAACTTCGTGCTCTCTTCGCCCACAACGCCCCAGTTCACCACCTCGATGCCGCAATTCGGTGTCAGTCAGCCGCAAATACAGCTGCAGTTGATGCCAGGTGGCGGAGGAGTGGCAAGTGCAGGAGCAGTTCCTGCCCAGACGCAGTTAAATGCTGCTGCCCTACTCTCCAGCCTGGCGGGTCCGCAGTCTACCACCAACCTGCTATCACCAAACAAATGCTTTCTCCCCATCACCATTCGGGACGAGAATTCGGACCAGCAGATCGTAGCGCACATCGACACCAAAAACCTAGTGTTGCCCACGACATACCAAGTGCAAATGAAACTTCAGCCTCAACTGGCCACTGCCGATGGCCAGCCAATCATGCAGCTGACACCAACATCAATTCCGGCTACATTGCAATTGACACCGCAGACTCTGGGCAATGCAGGAAGCAACTTCCAGGGCACGACTGTAACGCAAAACCAATTTCTGGCGCCGCAGCCACCGCCACCTCAACAGATTCAACAGCAACAACAGCTTACCCAACTGCCAAACACGGCACAAGTGACCTCTCAGCAAATCATTAGATCTCCACATGCAAGCACCACCAATTCGCAGTTGGTGATTAGGAATGTGACCAATATTCCAACAACTCCCACCACGCCCACTAGCAGCAAGGATGCCCCATCTTTTAAGACGCCTTCACCAAAGCAAAAACAGATGCCATTGCCTAAGAGCAGAACTACTGTGGCCTCGCCCTCAAGTGGTAGCAGTGGTCCGTCCGCCAACGAGTTCAAGCGATTGACGACCCAGTCAAAGCCACCACCGCAGGTCAAGCAACAGCAGACCTCAGGACTCTCTGTTTCAGGCGCCCCGACAGCGACATCAGCCAATCAGGCTGCCATGCAGCGGCTCTCCTCGAATACAACAATCACCAAGGTGTCCAAGCAGCCTGCTTCGTTGCCAGCACCAGCTCAGACATCCAATCCCGCAAAACTGCCCATGCTGAACAAACAGAATATTACAATTAGTCGAATCTCAATGCAGACAGCGCCAAAGCCGCAAAGTAAGCCTTCTACTGCAGCGCCAGCTCCTGCTTCACAGCCTATTCCTTTGTCCGTTCCCGCCCTAAGCCAAGCTCAACCACCTCCGCTGGCGTCGCAGCATAAGAAGATCGTACGCAAGCCTCCTGAGAACCAGGATACTTTGGGGCAGAAAGTGAAAGCAGCGCGACCACCGCAGCAGATTCTTCCTTCTCCACAGCAGGAAGGACAGAACGCGACCACCTCTGCAAACGAAGCGTTGTTGGCGCCCACAACTTCTGGCCTCATATGCCCCACCTGCAAACGTGAATTTAAGAAAAAAGAACACCTCACTCAGCACGTTAAGCTGCATGCAGGGCTGCGACCCTTTAAGTGTTCGGAAGAGGGTTGCGATAAGACCTTCAGCCGCAAAGAACACCTGTCCCGGCACTTGATATCCCATTCTGGACAAAAGATGTACACGTGCGAGGTGTGCAAAAAGCCCTTCTCGCGAAAGGATAACCTCAATAAGCATAGACGGTATGTATTTATATATTTTGTGTTAAATTCAATAGAGGTTCAAGAATATCTTTTTTCAACAGAATACACACGCAAACGGCAACCGAAACTCTCTACTGCTGCGATGTTTGTAACAAAAACTTCGCAACCAAGTTGCACTACGAAAAGCATCGGGAGATGCATAAGAAAACTCGACCGGAAAGCGCTGATCCGGGTGCACCTGCCCCGCCCGCGGCAGCACCTGCGCTAACTCACGTCCGTAGCAATGGTAGGGTCCCCAATAAGGTAAGTCCGTAATTCCGCTCACATTTTAAGAGTACTAATTCGCCTTATGTGAACATTCAAGGCGGTTTACGAAATCAAACAACAACGTTCTGCTCAGCAGCCGCAACAGACGCAAACACAGCAGCAGCCGGCACAGGTAATGCATGTTGTGACTACCCAGGATCTGGCCGGCAACACAATA